TCCTGCGGTTGAGCCATGGTATGTCAAGGGACCAATCGCCGCGACTAGGGGCCGAATGTTCCAGTTTTAGTAAATCCGGAATTGAGTTTTTGCAATAAACTCCAATTTTTTATCCCTGTATCTTTGCAGTCTGATGGTTTGAACATCTTCTAATTCAAACTTTTATTTGATGTGACAAAATTCATAATTTGAAAGATCTAAGAAAATGAGAGTTTGTGGCAAAGAATCAATCATTTTTTCCTGCAGCCCAATAACTGTGCAAAAATGTTAACCTAGATGGTAGAGTAGAACTGTTTTTATAATACTCTTCAACAAGTGCTGATCTATGTCGGTACAAGGCTTCTTTCTAAAATAAGAAATCGTTGAGAGACTTTATTTTTCCAGAATTGATTTTCGAAGAATGTCCATGGACATGGATATGAACATGGACTTGTAATGAAAAATAATTTCCCTTTCCAAACCATTACACCATTTTTCTCTGATCATTGAATAATAATTTTGTAATGGTTAGGTTCTACTTTCGTAGAAGGCCTTGGAAGAATCCTTCATCATCAGTCATGGACGGGTTACTGCTATACATATACATCCCAGTTCTATTTTGAATTGAGAATCTGGTAAATTATGGATCCAATGAACCAGGCAAGAAAAATTTATATAAATGTATATAGTTGTAATCTCTGTTTCTAAGTTGAGTGGGTCCATAAGAAAAATAGCTAAAATCGTATTTTAAAAGGAAAGTAACTATGAGTACACTGGGAGTGTGCAACACAAGGTTATCAAGCTGGTAAACTAATAAAGTATATTAAACAAAATATATGTTTGTCTGTTTATATTAAATGAAGGTAAAAACGACTGAATTAGTTCGGCCCAAATTTTTCGTAGCACCTCAATTGAAGGTTTTGTGGAAGTTCAAAATAGATTTTTTAAAATCCACGAAAAAATATTGAACATTTTTTTTATTGTTTGATAATTTAAAAAAATTAAAATTGACGGAGATAGGGCAACAATTAAAAGTTAAAATCGAAGATGCCTTGTTTACTTTAAGTATAAAAAACTAACCTGTCCAAAACAAAGATGAGATAATGTCCTGAGATTGTAATTTTTCCCATAGAGAGTAATGTTATGCGTAGCATCCTCTTTAGCCACCTATAATACATTTATCTAATCAGTGTTTGAACTATTTTAGAAAATGTCGACTTATATTCGGATAAAAGTAGACTTTTGATAACTAGTCCACAAACTTGGAACAAAAAGTCTTAATAAAGTCGGCTTTTTCATTCCAGTTCCTTACTAATCAAACACTTGGAACAAGAAGTAGTGACGATGAATATGTATAGGTGTGACAATTTAGATGGATGTATAAAAGTGGTATAAAAAGTTTACTAAAAGGTTGACTAAAAATCGAGAAAAATTCGACAAAAATTCGACTTAAAAGTCGACGTAATCTTGACTTTAAAGTTGAGTTTTTGGCGAGTTGAAAAATCCATAAGTGGTATAAAAATTTCAGCTTAAAGTCGAGTTCTGGTACGACTAAAGTAAAGTCGAGTTTCAGCAGAGTTTTGAAATCTATGGGTTTCAGAGGTTTTTAGGGGTCAATGGGTGCTAAGTCCCCCCCCCCCACCCCCATAGAAAGAAAAATTATTTAAGCCCCCCTAGTTGGGAAATAATTTTTTTAGAGGATAACAATTAATTTTTAGGGTTAGTGTCATTCCCCCCCCCCTAGTTTATAGGAACTGAACACTCCTTCTAATCTTCTAATTCTTATATCTTTGCATTCAGATGTCTTACACTCGTTAATATTTCTAACTAAAAAATTCTGTTATAAAAAATTGTTTAAGTTTAAAATATCAAAAATTTAAATCATCACGTTTATGTGATTCAGGGATTAGAAAATTGGAGTAGCACGTGTTCAGTTCTTATAAAACCGCTCTTAACGTGATTGTAAACTAAGCCATAATCTTTAAATGAATTAAAGGTCAATTAAAATGACGTTGCACCTCAATTTGAAATGGAAAGTATGAGTTGGAGTTTAGAAGAGGAGAAATTAAAATGTTCTTCGTATTAAACTAAACTATATAGTAAACATATTTAATAGCTTTGCCCCCTCATTACAACTTGTATACGCCCTTTCATTTTAAAACCAAGCAGTAACTTAATTAAGGTATTAGTTTCAATCTTTTTGGAAAAATATATCTTTTTTTGGTTAAATAAGTCTATAAGGTATTAAAAACGTTGAACGTTAACCTCTGTAGTAATCTGAGCAGAAGCCCCTCCCCAGTCTAAAGCCCCAAGCGTACTAGGCCCACGAGCTGCCAACATACTGGATTTAATGTTGAAATCTCCAAGTTGACCCTCCAGGTAGTTGGTGGAGATCCAACCAGTTAAACCCTTAACAATAGTCAAAAGAGTAATTTCCGTTTCTGAATTAGGGGTCGGAAAAATGTCCAAAACATTGAGTCTCATCCACAAACTCAAATTTTCTAATCCCGAAATCTTTGCAACCCAATCTCGTAGACCATCAACAATTCTGACTTTGAGTTCTGTTAGAAATATCAAAGGTATACATCATCAGGATGAAAAGATATTGGGAAAGAAATTAATTTGAGTCTCTGGCAAAGACTTAACTCTTTTCGTTTGTCCTAATATTGATTGTCTCTTGAAGTTAAATGCCAAGTCTAGTTGGTATTAACTTGTTAAAGCGACGGTAAGCGTAACTTCAAGTGATGTAAATGCCCGATTTACATTTGACTTATATATCCACGTCTTTATTTGTATATTTTCATTCGCGGATTCTTTGCAAGTGACTTGCGCATTTCTTGCTTACAAGAAGCAAAGAAGATCTTTTCAGATTTTAACCGGTTTTAAGTCAGGAAAACGGCGTTATCTTCCACAATTTTGATCCGATTAAGGTTTCAAGGGTACTGTTGTCATTGTCATTGTCATCTTTGCATGGAGGGTCAATTGAAATTACGCTTAAGGTCGCTTAAAGCCTAATTTTTTAATAATATTTTAGATCATGCTTATTTCATCTTTTACTGATTGATCTTTTAACCCCCTTCCCTTACATTCGTAAATAGTAACAATAAAAGATATGTTACAAATAATAGATGAATATTTAAGGGTATCAATTGAATTATTCTTTCGTTCAAGAATACAAATGAAAATTATATTTAGAAATAATAAATATTTAAGAGGAAATTTTTCCAAAACAACTAATATTTTTCAAACGACCATTACTTAACGATAACAATAAAACATTTCGCAGAATTTTCTGTTCTTATTGGTTGAGTTCCAAACTTAACAAACTCTATGGTCTAGATCTACCTCCATCTCTCCTGTAACAACACTTGAGTCCGTGTTATGACCGGTCAGTCTATCCAGCGCTCTGGTCAGGTTTCCCATTATCCAGCTAGTAGTATATGGGTCAACTAGGCGCAGGGTTCTCATCCCAGCAGTTCTAACAGTAGAAATATTATTATCCAGCCAGTAGTTGAGGGGCCAACCAGGCACGGGTCCAAGACCGAGTTTTTACACAGGGAAAACCTGAATTTATTTCACGAGATGAACACGGGATTTTTACATGAGAAAATAATTTTTCCTTAACAGAGGTCAATATGGCAGGGGCGTATGCAGGATTTAATTAAAGGGTGTGGCTGAACTTTGTGCTAAACGCCAAAAAATCTTTTAAATGTCTGGTGTTCCAAGAGATATAACTAATTTTTTCTTGGTGTTTTTTAGTTATCCGATATCCAGCGAGTCTGTGGTGGGGCACTGCGTCCTTGCACCCCCGTAGTTTATATCTTAGGATCTCAAGATAAGAATATTTACTTACCCTCCCAGATACATTTACTTACCCTCCCAGATACATTTACTTACCCTCCCAGATACATTTACTTACCCTCCCAGATATATTTACTTACCCTCCCAGATACATTGGAAAAACATGGCTTCCCTTTAAGTATATCTGCGGGGCTGAATCTCTATTATTCAGAATAATTATTTCATTTTTCCTACTTTTTCAATATCATTAATTGTTTATGACTGTCAAAGGAATAAAATTAACATTTAAAACGAACAAAGAAAAAATTCCTGTACAGGGTGTCCCAATAAACATGAGACTTCTATATCGTCTTTGTCCATGCGGCATTATTATATAAAAGTAGTCGTTAAGTTTCCAAAATATGGTTAACTGTTTTTGCCCCATCAAAATTGACATTTAGATATTTAGAAATTTGTGCAGAGGTGAAAGTTTTTGTGTTGAGTATCATATATTTAATCATGAACGCTCGATCTCGATATCCAATGTGAAAACTTTTAAATTTAAACTGCAGAATATGTAGATCAATTTGTTATCGCAGATTCACAACTCTTAAAAGTTTTGACTTCTTATTCCAATCTATTAAAAAAACTAAGGTTGATCAAATCTTTAATATAAACGTGCATTTTTTAAATACAAAGAAGGAAGATTAAATTTTAGAAATTTCATGCGAGTTTTACTCTTCGTCATTTTCCATATATCGGAATCCTAAGATCTCTTTCAAGTCTTCTCTTAATTTAAAATGTTTATTGGGACACCCTGTATAATATCTCTTTAATGATTACCGTAGTACTGTGAGTTTATTGTGTACAGTGTACAATGCACACTGCAGAAAGGGTATGAGAATAATTGTAAGCCTAATAAAGGTCACTGAAAAAATTTAAAAATAAATAATGATCTGTCCTTAACAACTTAAAATAAATAAATTTAGCAAATTAAGAAATATTTAAACGAATGAAAAATTAATAAATTTCCTTAAACAAGAAGAATTGACGAGTGCTCTTATTCCAGCAGGGTTCTCCTTGAAGGATGATATTCCAATCTAAACAAATGATCTTCCAATCTAATCAAATGATCTTCCAATCTAATCAAATGATCCTCCAATCTAAACAAATGATCTTCCAATCTAAACAAATGATATTCCAATCTAAACAAATGATCTTCCAATCTAAACAAATGATCTTCAAATCTAATCAAATGATCTTCCAATCTAAACAAATGATCTTCCAATCTAATCAAATGATCTTCCAAACAAATGATCTTCCAATCTAAACAAATGATCTTCAAATCTAATCAAATGATCTTCCAATCTAAACAAATGATCTTCCAATCTAATCAAATGATCTTCCAATCTAATCAAATGATCTCCCAATCTAAATAAATGATTTTCAAATCTAAATAAATGATATTCCAATCTTACTTGCTTCTAGTTTCAATTTAAAAGACTTTTCAGTCAAATCCTTTTAGGTTTTGCTTTAGAGCTTTTAGTGTTAAAAGGTAAACCATATTAAAGAAAGCTTTTATGTCACGCACCCTTTAAAGTGATTAACATTTTGACACTATATGGATGGCTATCCATGATCGAAGACTATCTTTAAACTTTGTTAGGAAAATGTTACCTCTCCCATATCACAAAAAGACACTTCTTCTATGATACCAGTTCCATTAAACTTATCTCCTAAGAACCTAACATGTTTTACGTCAAAAATTTAGTGGAAAGAAATAAAAGTAAAATAAAATATATAATAAGTAATGTAAGGATGTAAGTACTGAACATTATAAAGGAAAGTTAACCTAAAAGTGTACACGGATATATGTACTGTACAATGTACATGTTGAAGGAAAGCTAACCTGTAAGTGTACACGGATATATGTACTCTATATGGTTAAGGAAGGCTAACCTGTTAGTGTACACGGACATATGTACTGTACATGATGAGGAAAAGCTGACCTGTAAGTGTACACTGATGTATGTACTGAACCTGCATCCACAACAACCCCGTATACATAAGGTGAAGGACTACTGGAGAAATAAGCACCAAAACATCCCCCCAGAATACTAAATATATCAATAAATTAATAACAAACATGTAGAGTAATTGTTGTTTCAATCTTTTCTAATCAAAAATATCTTTATGGATTTTGTTATTTGTATTTGTTTAAACAGACATTTCTTAGATAAATCATTTACAAAATCCACATTTTATAAGAAATATGACATTAATTTCGTTGTATTTGTGCTCTGTGGGTTAAAAACAAATTATTATGTGAAATGGGTCTGTGTACACTGCCCAATTTTTGTGTTTCATCTTCTTTAGACTATTTATTTTTATGAATAGAGTCTAAAAACCGTCTTCGTATTTATGGGTCTCACTTTGGTGCAAAAATTGAGGTAGATATTCTCGTTTTTCTACCTAAAAATTGGAAATTTCAATTTTGGGTTCTTTAAGAAAGAGACTTGTATGGGATACAAGGTAGAAAATTGACAATTAGAAAAAGGTCTATATCTTCCAAGTTAATATAATTACAGAATTCAGGGTGCCACTTTAAGAAAAGGAGGATAACTTGAAGTTCGTCTATATTCTATTTAAAGGGACTGTAAGCGTAATTTCAAGTAACCCTTCATGCAAAGATGGCAACGCCCGAGTCACAACGGTACAGTTGAACGCGGGGGAGAAAGCCAACCACAACAATTTCTCGTCCGAGCCACATTCTCCTCATTTTCTCGTCCGAGCCACCTCAAAATCCTCGTCCTTTCAACATTATTTTTTTTAAGTGTCTAATCCTTCATTATAAAAATATTTTTTAAGAATCAAGCCACGTTAGGGCATAAATGAAATATCAATTTTTTGTAAATCAAAGTAAAAGTTTCAACTGAATTAAAGATTTCAAGTTTAATGTCCTTAAAAATTTTCACCTTTTTTACGCGCATTTTCAGATATTCCTGGTGTATAATGCCGCAAATAATTCCAAGTTTATAGAACTTTAATCTTTTTTGTTAACTATAGTGAAAACCACAGAATATTACCGGGTGGTTCCATGGGAAAAATTATAGGCAACGGTATGCCGAATATTTTGCTATTTATTTTATATCACGAAGGTTAGCCATAACGGAGGCAGAAGAGATTTAAGTTTACCTAAATAAAGTTTGACATCATTCTCATGGGTTTGAAGATTCTAACATGATATAATCATTGGCATACTTTAGTCCATCCATATTTTATGCCCTAACGTGGCCAGATTTTTAAACAATAGGTTTATCTTTAAGAATTGGAAACTTTTTAACACAAAATAATCAAAGGACGAGGATTCCGAGGTGGCTCGGACGAGAAAATGAGGAGAATGTGGTTCGGACGAGAAATTGATGCGGCTGGCCTTCCTCCCCTCCTTGAACCATTAATCTGATTAATGTGGAGGATACCGTAAATTTCCTGACTTGAAAAGTGTTCATTCTGATAATTTCTCCATTTACTTCTTATAAGGAAGAAATGCGCAAGTAATTTTTGTAGAGAAACCACAAATGAAATGAGCAGTTTAGCGAAACTAAAGCGTTGTAAATCTGGAATAGCCACCATTATTATCATTATGTAATGATCTAGAAAAGATCCCCAATCTGGAATCGCCCGACAGCCATCGTGACAACAGGCTAAATCCGCTTAAAATCCGTTCATCTGGAACCCTGGTATTTCTCCTTTATCCAAGAAATTTGTCCCAGGGTCACTTGAAATGCGCTTATAGTCCCTTTATGGCGTAATTTATGTAATTAACCTGATAGAAAATATAGCACAAAGCCACGATATCTGACACCAGTTTGTATAGGAGAATAGAGCTCGTTCAGATTCTAATTCAATTTAATAATTTAATCATGAATTTAACACAAAAAATATATTAGTTTTATCATGAAAAAACGGTTGTCTCCTATAATACCCTAATAAAGGGTCCTTGAAGACATTATCGAAAAACAAAGCCGTTGATTGATCCTTCCATTCATGAATTCATGAAACAATTCATCCTTAGTTAATCCATTCATGATTTAATACATTAAACCATTCATTTAATTCTTTCGTTAATCCATAGCTCAATAGATCCATAAATCAGTTAATCGATTAATCAATTAATCAATTAATCAATTAATCAATTAATCAATTAATCAATTAATCAAATAATCAATTAATTAATTAATCAATTAATCCATAAATCAATTAATCAATTAATCAAATAATCAATTAATCAATTAATCAATTAATCAAATAATCAATTAATTAATTAATCAATTAATCCATAAATCAATTATTCAATTGATCCATAAATCAAGTAATCCATAAATCCATAAATCAATTAAGCAGAAATCCAGAAATCCAGAAACCAATTAATCTATTAATCAATAATAAATCAATGAATCAAGAATCTTTCAATCCATTAATCAATAAATCAATTCATCAATAAATCAATTTATCCCTATATTTACCTAATGTTGAAAGATATAGTTGATCCTTATCCTTAATCCTAGCTTCAGAAACACTCTTCTTACTCTTTACAATCAAACCCTGGTTATCCTGAACAGAAAGAAATGATAATATCCGAAATCTCCCCCCCCCCCTCATTCCTTCTTCGCGTCACGACGGGGTTAAGTCTCATAAGTAGTTTGGTTCTCGTTTAGGTTTGCGTTTACTTTTTGATTTTTAATAGAACTTTAATTTCCAAGATTCCAAAACTTTCTTCTTTTAAAATTTTCTTTTTTTAAACTTTACAATATTTTAATCCTAAAAAATTATTGTTTTAAAACATTTGTTTTCGGATCATTTTTAGTTTTTGCATATAAGAAAAGGAAATGTTAAAATAAACAATTTTGAAAACATTTTATTTTCTAACACTATGCCAAATTCTGACCATAAAAGAAAATATAGGAAAAAACAAACCAAAAAGAAACGAACTTAATTAAGCTCAAAAACACAATTACCTAGTGGAAATACGCATTTTTTTCAACCTTTACGGAAAATTGTCAAAAAAATGTTTGAAAGCTAAGAAAAACTAAAAATATTTCCTCCTGATACAAAGGCGACAAATTCTCACCCTCAGTATAAAACTTCCAGGGGAGATCAGAGGTATACTGTCCAGAAACTTCTGTACTATCATCTCAACCCTGGAGCAAACATTTATAATCTAAAAATCAAACATATCCAATCTTAACATTTTAACATTTAAAATATGCAATTTCCACTTATAATAATCAAACATTTCTACTTTAAAAATCAAACATTTCCAATTTCAGAATTAAAAGTTTCAAATCTTAAAATGAAAAATTTCACATCATAGAAGCAAACATTTTTCCACCTAAAAATCAAACATTTCCACTTAAAGAATCAAACATATTAAAATCTAAATTGTATACCATATATGTTCGAATCGAATGTTCAACTATTAAAATAACATTGAAATTTCAACCTCCTATATCTATTTATACACTTTGCTAGTCTGTTTGTATGTATGTTTGTTAGTATCCAATAAATGTAAAAACGGCTGAACCAATCGAGTTTTTTGTGGGGCCTCACAAGACCCCAAGAAGGGTTCATGGATGCTCAGAATTTCAAATTAAAAAAACTACTTTTTTGTTTTTGTTTTCTATTGTTCGCAGAGAAAATGCTGACAGGTAGAGCCACAATTTTAAGTTGAAATAGAAGATGCCTAGTCAACATAAAACAAACTATATATAACCTTACAAAAAATAAACCTGTCCGATGGTTTGATCCGTATTATCTTCTTTCCCTGCACGGCTCCGAGATTACTTTCCACACTTACTCTTAAAGAGATAGAATTAAAGATAAATTTGTATTATAAATGATGAAGACATCTTTTAAAAAGGTTTTCAAACATCTATGTATGCTTAAATATTTTCAGAGTAAACAAGCACTGGAAGAAAAGTCCTCTGAAATTATAAAAAACTTCACTTTTTAAATTTTTCATAAATATTTTTTCTAGGATTAAGACAGAATCAATCAAAGCTGACAGTGAACAGAGAAAAAAGTTTTGAAATTGATTAAAATGATGAAGAAAAATCATTAAAGAACCTGATACTATTGTCAGTAGGATACATTTTTTCAACCTCGTTTAGATCCAGCAGGCCTTCGGGGGAGAGCTGTGGAGAGGATAAACTAACAATATTTCACATATTACCGCCCAGCAAGCAAATGATATATGAATCATCGCCCTGTAAGCTGAGTTTATATTCATGTGTAAATTAACCAATTGCCTGCCTAGCATGCATTTAGATGTTTATTTGTGGACACAAATGAAAAAAAGAGACCTTGAAGCTACAAAGTTAGTTAAACTTTTTAGTGTGGGATTATATCGATTCTCCTCAATTTCATTATAGCCCCCTCGAAAAAATCGTTCGGCTAATTACATTGATAAGGATTTTAGGCCCCCCTTCATAAAAATGTACAGGGTCAATGTGTGACTTGTGACCACAGTGCTCGGCCCCTAGCCTGTTCTAACGCTCGTCCCCCTAGACAGAAATGGTCCTAACCTAACCTATAATAATAAAAAAAATTTCATGTTCAGTTTTCGATGTAGGGGGGGGGGGATAAAAATATTTCTCCGGGATTGAGCAATTGATCAGACACTAATTGTAGAAATAGATTAAATACCATCTTGCCAACGAAGACGACATTTAAAACATTCGTATTCTTGGTTACTCTAATACACACCTTAATCGATTGTCCTTGCACTTCAGCGACATATTAAATCTTAAACAAAGTAAATTTAAAATCTAAAACAACGATTTAAGGGTCTGCCCTAGTGAACGATTTTTGGACCCCCCCCCCATCCTATCAATTTTGTACATGACCAAATTAGTATTTATTTATTTAAAGGGTTAGGTTAGGTTAAAATCTCTG